AGCTGGACATTGCTGTGAGCTGTGATATCACAATACTCTACCGAGGGTGACAAAGTGAGACTCTTGTCTCTAAAAAAAAAAAAAAAAAAAAAAAAGGAGAGGAAACAAATACCAGGTTATTTAGCTTTATTTGTTTCTGAAGATAGGGGAACTTTTTAGTAGAAATGGTCTGACCTTAAATGAAGGGAAACTGGAGCCCCAGGTCAGATCAGTAGTGTGCCTCTACCTCTCTGCCCTCCTCCCTTCTCATCTGCCCTGCCCTGCCTCCCATCACCTGAGACACTTGGTTGAATCCTAAGGCTGGGGACAGAGAGGGGTGAGGGGAGGGCTGATCACCTACCTGACTCCTCAGGATGCCTCCTGGTGTGAGAATTTGATGAAATTCCATTTTTCATCACTTTCAACCTTGGTATAGAAGGGTAACTTCATAAATGCTGTAAGACTTTGAGCTAAATGTATTTATTTCTCTTTGGTCCTCTGGCAGGCAGGAATTCGTGGATGCTTATGTGAATTATGTCTTCCAAATCTCAGTTCACGAGTGGTACACAGCCTTCTCCAGTGGCTTCCTAAAGGTGTGTGGTGGCAAAGTCCTTGAGCTCTTCCAGCCTTCAGAACTGAGGGCCATGATGGTGGGGAGCAGCAACTACAACTGGGAAGAACTGGAGGAGGTGAGCATGGAAGACGCTGTCCTTTCCTGTGTCGGGTGGCAGCACAGTGTGGGTCAGCGGCCCAGAGCCTGACCCCGCTCCAGGGTACTGTGCTCCCCCAGGGTTTGGAGGGCTCCTGTAGCTCAGTATTTATTTCCTAGTCTCAAATGCAAATGGTATTCAGCATCCACTATGATACTCTTCTTCTATGGGCTACATTTTTTTCCTTTTTTGTCTTTTTTGGACAGACTGCCATTTATAAGGGTGATTATTCAGCTACACATCCCACTGTGAAGCTATTTTGGGAAACATTTCATGAGTTTCCACTGGAAAAGAAGAAAAAGTTTCTCTGTAAGTATCAAAAATATCAGTGTGGTATTTGTCCCCAATTTAGGCTTTTATATAGTATAGAATGATACACTCCATGGGTAAGGTTTAACTCTTCTAAATGGTAAACAGTAAGTAATTAAATATATTTACACTTTTTGTCTTAGTGATATCTCAGGCACAAGATAGGTGGTTAATCAGTTATTTCCTGCCTAATATGAAGGGTTTCATGAAAGGAAGAATAGAAAATTTTCACTGATTTTCAATTGTTCTAAAAATACTAATTATTTTATATGTAAGTGATTCCTTTAAGAATTACATCTGTAAAACCAATTTGTTGAGATTAACCTCTCTTATCTTTCTTTTTTCTTTTCTTCTTTTTTTTTTTTTGAGACAGAGT